TCACGTGAATGTCAGGCCTGAAAGCTGAGCAGTATCGCTATCTGGACATTGAGTTAGCTCCATGTACGGCCCTGAGAGGCAAGAATTAAAAAGAAAGATGCGTGCAAAGCCTTATATTAAAGAGGAAAGGACGGAAGAAGAGGGTGTAGTTAAGAAGATTGATCAGAAGAAAGGTGGGACACAGGCCATTGTGTCTCTGGGGCAGGGTTTTTAGAGACAAGAGTTGCAGCAGCTCAGCTGAGCTTGAGAGAGCTGAGCGGCCAGGTGGGGGAGTAGCCCACTAAAGTAAAATGAAAAGTAAATAGTCAAGGCTTTTGTCACTGACTGCAATAGTATAAGCAAGAGTATAATCCATAGAAAGCGCCAGCTCCCTAGTGATCCGTTTTCCCCATGGAACAGCGTATGAGTCTAGGGACAGGTAGATCAGTGCAGATGTGGAGTGTTGGAAGGGTCATCTCACTGCTGAGGGAGCCCCAGACAAAAGGTCTGAGCAGTTTTGTGGACCCAAGGGCCTGGGGTAAGGAGGGAAGAGTTAGGAGTGGAGAAGATCTGAGTACTGAGTCAGAGTGGAGAAAAGTATCTTTACAGTTCTCCAGTTCTTTGATAAGGAGACTTCCTAATGGAGGCGCAGGTATGCGTAAGAGCAAGGCTGGCCAGGGAGGGCCAGGGAAAGCCTTTATAGTTGCCTATGTGGGACCTGAAAAATCACACCGAGAATTTGGCCTGGAACTGGACTCTGTCAGAGTATCCAGACAATGTCCCTTCAACAAATGTTCATGGCAAAACAACCATGGCTTCTACACAAAGAGTAAGAGACATGCTCCCGAAGGAGGAGAATTTAAACGTGAAATGCTTTCTTCTGGGGGTGTCACTGGGATAATCAGTCCCTTCTTGGGTCTGGCTTTATTCAGGAAGTTGTGGGCCATCCCCAGTGTGGGGACTCAGGCAGCCAGGAAAGCCTCGGTGGAAACACGTGCCTCCCTACCCTTGACCGGTTCCCCCCCTTCCCGAGGGGCCAAAGCACTAGCGATGCCCAGAGCTCTAGATTTGGGTTTACAGTGGGAATGCTTAACCCCAGGTGGTGCCTTAATTATAGTTAGCAAACATGAGGGTCGTTTTAACTGAATGGTCGACTCTGTGGATTTCCATGTTAGGGAGTAAGGTGGTTAAAAATGGCCCTAGAGTCAGAATGTCTGTATTTTAATCCATTAAGCTCTGCTAATAACTAGCAATGTAGCTTGGGTTCATCACACAAATTCTTCAAGCCCTAGTTTTGTCTTCTATGTAACAGACATCTCAACAGTAATGGCCTTATGTAAGTTGTTGTAGTAAATGAAATGAGATAATGCATGTGAAGTGCTTAGCTATAATATGTGCCCAGTGGCAGTTCCAGATATGGGTTTATTCGGTTATCTTGGGGAGACGGGCAGCAGAGAGGGAATGGTTAGAGAGTGTGGGTGATGGTCATCTTCATGGATATTACTCCTGAATCTAGAAGCTCAGTTCCCAGAGACAGAAGGACCTTTCCACCATACACAAAGGGTATTGGAGAAACTTCAGGTTCCTGTCCAAATCCCTTTCAAAAGAGTGTCCTGCCCTAGGGCACTCAGGTAGAAGAACTATTTTAAATTTGAAAGGGATTGTCTTTTTTGCTTATGAATGAAGCCAGGTCCGAGAGTGCCTCATTCCAGGTGGTTTCCAGGAAGTAAACCAACTCAGTTTGGACACACCACATTTGTTCCTATTGATAGTAGCCAAAGCTTAAATGGTTGAAGACTTGCGTAGGAGATGTCTTCCAAGAAGAAAAAGGTTTTCTTCTGCTTTTTGCAATAGTAATGCTATTCTTCACTTGGCCCATAATATTTTTAAAAATCAACTTTATTGATTTAATATAGGTGTAATTTACATACAAGAAACTGCACCTATTCAAAATGCACAGTTCAATGGAGCTAGAGGGGATTCTGCCAAGTGAAGTAAGTCAGAGAAAGACAAAGACCATACCACTTACTCGTGAAATCTAAAAAGGAAAACAAATGAATAAACAAACAAACAAAAACCCAAATGATCCATAAATACAAAGAACAAACTGATGGTTGCCAGAGGGGAGGGAGATGGTGGGGGGATAGACAAAATGCATGAAGGGGAGAGAGAGAGATACAGGCTTCCAGCTACTTAATGAATAAGTCATGAGGATAAAAGGTACAGCATAGGGAATACAGTCAATGGTTTGTAACAGTGTCGTAGAGAATTGTCGAATCACTATGTTGTATACCTGAAACTAAGGTAACCTTGTGTGTCAGTTCTACTTCAATTAAAAAATAAACAGTGCACAGTCCAATGAGTTTTGACAGATTTGACACGCCTATAAGACTATTGCCAGAATTAAGATACAAGAATATTTCCTCACCTCCAAAGGTTTCCCTGTGCCCCTTTGCAGTCTGTCCTCTCTTCATTCCTGTGTCCAGGCAACCACTGCTTTACTGTCACTGGAGATAAGTTTGCATTGTTTAGAAGTTTATATACGTGGAATTATACAGCATATACTCTTTTGTGTCTAGCTTCTTTCATTCCACATGATGATTTTGAGATCATCCTTGTAACATGTATCAGTAGCTCGTCCCTTTTTTGCCGATCCCTTGTATGAATATATCATATTTTGTTTATCCATTCACCTGTTGCGAGACATTTGGGTTCTTGACAATTTGTGGCTATTATGAATAAAACTGCTAAGAACATTTGTGTATAAATCTTTGTGCGGGCATTTGTTTTCATAAATATCTAGGAGTCGAATGACTGGGTTATAAGGTAAGAGAATGTTTCTTAAGAAACTGCTAAACTATTCCAAAACAGCTGTGCCATTTTTCATCTCCACCAGAAAGGAAAACCAGAGTCCCAGTTGTTCTACATTTTTGCCAACACTTTGGATTGTCAGTCTTTTTCATTTTAGTCATTCTAGTATATCTCAGTGTGATTTTGATTTGCATTGCCCTGATGACTAATGATGTTGAACATTTTTTCCATGTGCTTCAGCCTTTGGTATATCTTCTTTTGTGAAATGTTTGCTTGTCCATAATATTTTAAGTTAAAAATTATGCTTTGAACAGTAATGTCAAAGTATCACTGGCCACACAAAATGACAACTGAGAAATCCCTTCTCTAAATCACCAGCATGCCTTTCCTGTTTATGCTGCTTTTAGAGCCTCAACTTTAGAGTGCTGTTAATACTATTTCACTATTTCATGCTCCATATATTTTGCTGGATACTACTCATGGTCCTTTTCATATGTCTACATTGAATTAGCCTGCCTATTAATGAAATAAAGTTCTGCTTTATGAATTTCACAGATGGATTGCATATCTATTCTCTTCAAATTGGGAATTTGTACAAAATGGAAGTTTTACAACCTGTGTTGCAATGAATCTGTTTAAAGTTCAGAAATTCTATAACCAGATTTTATTTTATTTTTATCTTTAAGGAGGATGATTATAGATGGGATGGAAGGAATTGAGAAAGGCAGGAAATGATTAGAGAAACATTTCCTCAGCTTGAAATTGTAATTTTATGCTCAGAGGGCCTCCTGTTAGTTCTTGGCACTGCTTTTGCTAGAGATTTGGGTGCAATTACTCACCACCGTGCTCTAGAGGAAAACTCAACAGCCAAGGGGTCAAGAGTAGCCAAGAAATGGGACACCGCACATTCAGCCAGACTGCCCTTTGGTGAGCAAAAGCCAACCTGAGTCCCTGAAGAGTCTGGGGTAGGGGGCAGGAAAACTGAGGGACTATTAAGGAAACACAGTCATCAAGATGGAAGAAATTGAGGGGCTTACCAAGAGGAGTTACTAAGGGAGAAAAGTTCGAGCCAAGAAAACAGTAGGAACTTGACAAATGTGGCTGAAGGGGGGCAGAATTGTTCTGCTAATGATGATGTATAGCCAACCAAGTGTTGGCAAGATTATGCCTTCCACACAGTTCCAGATTAACATTACAGATGGGAGAGGAGTGTTTATCACAATTTTGTGTGAATAGATACAGGGCTGAGAAAATTAAGCCTGAGAAAATTAAGCAGAGGAAAAGGTAAAAGGAGTATCAGGAGAGGAGGAAAAGAACTTTCCAAACTTGTTTGGCTCTGGATTAGCCTTCCAAGGGTGCAGTGGTGATGAGTCTGGAATTCAATAGTTATACACCTTCTCTTTGGCCTGCTGGTGAGTGCTTGACTTATGGCAATCGCCTTGGGCTGCTGGTGATTCAGCAGAGCTGGTGGGCCTCTAGGGTGTTAGCCAGCCCAGCATCCAGAATTTGCTTCAGCAAACCATACCTCCTCCAAAATATGCAGTCTGTGGGATTGTTAATTGTGTCTCCTCACCTCCACACTGAGAGGTGTACATGCATGTGCCCCTACTTCTAGATCAGTTACACTCCTGGTCACACTGAGTGCTTGCTACTTGCCAGGAACTATTCTTTTTTTTGTTTATTTTCAGTTAAGGTGTAATTGACAAACATTATATTCGTTTCAGGTGTACAACATAATTCAATATTTGTATATATTCAATATTTGTATATATTGAGAAATGATCACCACAATAAGTCTAGTTAACACCCATCACCACACATAGTTAACAGATTTTTTTTCTTGTAATGAGAATTTTTAAGATTTTTTCTCTTAGCAACTTTCAAATATACAATATAGTATTATTAACTATAGTCACCATGCTGTACATTACATCCCCGTGACTTATTTATGTTATAACTGGAAATTTGTAATTTTTGACTCCCTTCACCCCATTTTGCCCACCTCCCACCTCTAGGAACCATCAGTCTGTTCCCCATAACTGTCAGCTTGGTGTCTTTATTGTTGTTGTAAATTCCACATAAAAGTAAGATCATATAGTATTTGTCTTTCTCTGTCTAACTTATTTCACTTAGCATAACACCCTCAAGGTCCATCCACTTTTGTTGAAAATGGCAAGATTTCATTCTTTTTTTTTTATGGCTGAGTAGTACTCCAGTCTGTGTATATATCACACGCATATATATATCACATCTTTTCTATCCATTCATCCATCAGTGGACACTTAAGTTGCTTCCATATCTTGGCTATTGTAAATAATACTGCAGTGTACATGGGGGTGCAGATATCTTTTTTTTTTAAAGATTTTATTTATTTATTTGACAGAGAGAGAGCAGGACAGCAGAAGCACGGGGAATGGCAGAGGGAGAGGGAGAAGCAGGCCCCCCGCCGAGCAGGGAGCCCAACACGGGGCTCGATCCCAGGACCCTGAGACCATGACCCGAGCTGAAGGCAGACGCCCAATGACCGAGCCACCCAGGTTTTTGAGTTAGTGTTGCCTTTTTTTTTTTTTTTAAAGTAGGCTCTATGGCCCACATGGGGCTTGAATTCATGACCCCAAGACCAAGAGTTGCATCCTCTACCAAGAGCCGGGTACCCCTGAGTTAGCATTTTTGTTTTCTTCACCAGGAACTATTCTTAGGGCATTGCATATATTAACTCATTTAATCCTCAGAACAACTCCACAAAGCAGGTACATTTTACAGATGAGCGAACTGAGGGAAAGAGAGCTAAATGACTTGCTCAGGATCATGTAGTTAGGAAGAGGTGAAGCCAGATTTGAACTTGGGCAGTCCGGTTCACGTTGGCTGCAGGAAAGACAGGGAGAAAGGTTATTTCAGCTTTTCCAGCTTCTAAAGTAGAGACAGGCAGGAAAAGAAGGGGGTGGAAGATGTTGAATGAGTCACCTACCATGTCTGCCAAATCTGGTCAGTTTTTTTTTTTTCCCCTCTGTTATTAACTGTCTCTTCCTGCCTGTCATGGCTTCGTACACACTTCAAACACTCCTCCAGTGTCAGACTCATTGTTTCACACACCCACATCTTTCAGAAGACTTGCAATTTCATTTTGAAATTGATTGCATTGTAGCCTTCATAGTCACCAATGTCATCTGAAAATGGCAGATACGTTGACAATCCCTGACCGCCGAGGAGAGACTGACCATAGTCTATGATTGATAACTGGTATGGATACTAGTGTGCTCGGGGAGGGATGTTTGAAGAAGGGGTGATCTCAACAGATGGGCATCTCAAGAGCGTATTTTCTATACCATAAGATACTTGCTTTCTTACATAACCTGGTATCCCAGATTCTTTAATAACGAGTATGAAGATTGATGTAGGAAAGACGTTAGGGTTAGAAGCCAATGGCCAAGAAAGAATTCTTGAGAAGTCTTTGGTGAAAAAAGGTAGTGGTTCATTATATACTTTCAAGTTGGGGCAGGGGTTAGGGATAGCGTAAGTCTCTAAGGAATTTAGAAGCAAGGTTTCCAGGACCTTAAGGGGGCTAGCTATTGTTGGGAAATGGTCATTTATTACGGGCTAATAAAACCTGAGTCATGAGACCCTTCAGATGTGTATCGGTGAGCCATATGCTTGGGGGATGATTGCCAACACATATCTTTGAGGGGGCAGGTTTAGAGATAAATGAAATATCTAAAGGAATTTTTATATGTTAAAGTAGACTTACAGGATCCTGAGGGTCAGGCTAAGATTGCCTTTTGCCCTTAGCAAAGTATTAACATCGAAGCAGTTGAGTCCCTAGAGGAAAGTCACTCTGCCTGTTTCAAGGACTTGTCAGTGGGCTGTAGGTAGTAAGGAAATTTAATAATTTTTCTTCTGCTTTTGTTTCCCACATCAGGATCCAAGAACTTGAATACAGCACCAAAGTAACCTAATCCTTTCTTTCCTCCCCAGTCCCATGTCTGCCTTAAGGAGGATATTCAGGGGCACCTGGGTGGCCCAGTCGTTAAGCGTCTGCCTTCGGCTCAGGTCACGATCCCGGGGTCCTGGGATCGAGCCCAGCGTCAGTCTCCCTGCTCGGCGGGAAGCCAGCTTCTCCCTCTCCCACTCCCCCTGCTTGTGTTCCCTCTCTCGCTGAGTCTCTCTCTGTCAAATAAATAAATACAATCTTAAAAAAAAAAGGGTATTCAAAGAATGTTGGGAATATTTAACAATGACGACAAGAAAACCCTGTAGGTTTGAGGCCCACTGGGCTCCCAGGCTCATCCATTCCTCAGGCCTCCAGGCTTCCCTTCTGTCCATGGCTGGCTGTGATGTCTGTCCTTAGACACAGCTCTCCTTAACCCACTGCCACTGTGGCACAGAAGCTGACCAATGTTGCCCCCCCCCCCCCCCCCCCGCCGACTGACCTGGGCACAGATCCTCCACCTGTTGATGCTGGTGTCTTCCCAGCTGCTGGAGCTGCTCCCAGGGTGAAGAAGGTCTTCTTTCATGATGTTTCACAATTCATTTTTTTAGTCCTGGCATAGTGACATCAACCCTCCATCTCCTGTGACTCTCTCAAGATGATGAGACAACTTGTCTCTGGGTAGATTTGGAAGAATTTTGGGTGGGACCAGACAGCATCTAACCCTCTATTAAAAGATAATTAAAATCATCATCACACACACACAGTTCACTCTTGAACAACATTGGTTTAAACTGCATGGGTCCACTTATACACGGATTTTTTCAATAAATACAGTAGAGTTCTGTACTATAAATGTATTTTCTCTTCCTTATGATTTTTCTCTACTCACTTTATTGTAAGAATAATGTAGATATATAACATACAAAATATGTGTTAATCAACTGTTATCATAAGGCTTCTGGTCAACAGTAAAGTTTTGGGGGGAGTCAAAAGTTACGTGTGAATTTTTTTTTTTTTAAAGATTTTATTTATTTATTTGAGAGAGAGAGAATGAGAGAGAGAGAAAGCACATGAGAGGGGGGAGGGTCAGAGGGAGAAGCAGACTCCCTGACAAGCAGGGAGCCTGATGCGGGACTCGATCCAGGGACTCCAAGATCATGAACTGAGCCGAAGGCAGTCGCTTAACCAACTGAGCCACCCAGGCGCCCCACGTGTGGATTTTTGACTGTGGGTGTCATTGCCCCTAACCCCGGTGTTGTTCAAGGATCAATTGTATGTATATGCTAAAGGTTTAATTTTGCTCATTAATCAATGAAGGAACCAGGCAGGCATTATAACTCTAAGAACGGATGTGTTTATAGATCAGAAATAGTGACATTAATACGTAAACAGAAGCAAACTGGTTTTTCCACAGGGGCTAGGGAAATCAATTCAACCTCTCTCAGGACAAAATTTGCATGTTCATGAGAACATTTTGCATTGCTATCAAGTACTTACAACTGAAAAGGTTGTAAAATAGCTCAAAGCCATGGAGAGATTAGAACCAGAAAATCGGAGGCTGTCTTTCGGTCCGCGCCGGGTATCCCAGGAAGCACGATGCTCTTCTATGGCCCTCGTCTCTCTCCCTTAATGGCCAGCAGATACCATGCACGGTCCACAGCGGGACTGCCTTAATGCCAGGTTCCCGGGATTAACCGGAGCTCCCACTTTGGTTTTTTCCCGTTTCTCCCAGGGCCACTGGTTTTCCTCAGTAAACGGCGCTCCTGGAGTCGTGCCAGAGTCCTAATATGGGGCGTGGAGCTCAGGTCTCCCCAGGAACGCTCGCCCAAAACTGGATGCTTCATTTGTATTGCTGTATTGGGGGAGGGTGTGGCTTGAGGATTGGTGGGGAGAAGCTACGGGAAAGACTGGATAGGATCACGTTGTGAAGCATCTTCTGTGCCACACTACAGAGTTTGGTCTGGACCCCAAAGTCAATGGAGAACAGCCACAGTCTTTTGAATAGATCAGTGCAGTGATCAGGGCTGGGTTTTGATGAGATAGCTGGAGGTGGCATGTCTTAGCTTATGGAATTGTCTTGAGTGAATGGAAATGACTTTTAGAGAATTTTCTGCCCATCACAAAGACACACCTTCCACTATTCTCTTCAAACTATCTCTAGATTTGTCCTGCTCTCCCGTCCTGCCTCCTTAGAGCTTCCCTTTCTCCATCAGCCCCTAAGCTAGGAGAACACTCAACCACTGTCCAACACTGTGACTCAGTCTGAAATGCTTAATAGGATTCGTGCTCTGTGCAAAGATCCTATACAGTTTTAGGAACCAGGGTGTCAAAAGCAAATAAACCTGAACAAATAAGGTAAGGAAACTGACTTTAGTCAGACTGTTGCAATAGAAAGAGCCTTCTAGATGTCAAGATCAATGTCACTGCAGGTTTCCCCTAAGACTTTTTATAGGGAGGAGTACGCAAATTATAGGTGGGGTGATCTTACAGGTGGAGTTGCTTCTATCTTCAGGGGAAGCCCCAGTCAGTCAGCCGATCAAAAAAAAAATTTATATCTGTGTCTAGTTAGTGGGGTTTTTTGGGGGGTGGTGGTGTAGGGGCCAAGGGCAGGCTGCCTTAAGATAGCCCACTATGGCATGCAGATTATGCTGAACTGAACACAATCAAGACTCAAAAGACTCAGGAAGAAACTTTTTGCTCCCCCACAATTACTTTGAAGAATTTAGATAGAGGCCCTGCTCCAGGAAGAGAACTGTCACCACAGATAACTACACTAGCACATGAACTAGGTAAGAGAGACAGGCAGGAACATAGCAAGGCCTGTGGGATCAAACTCCTAAGTCCCATGGCTTCTGAGTGGCCCGGCAGATGCTTGTTGACCAGACATTTACTCTTTTTCATTGTCCTTCGAATTGCATTCCTTCCCTTTGAAGTCCCAGACCCCTGCCCCTTCTCCTTAGTTCAGAATGACATATATTTGCCTGAGTGTCTTTGGAATTTCCATGTCTGTATGGATTCTCCATACATGCAGAATTTTCTTGTTAATCTGTCTCATGTCAATTTGATTCTTAGTCCATCTAGAAGGATCTTGAAGGCAGAGGTAATTCTTCTTTCCCCAGTGGGGAGGGGTCAATTCATCCGGTCATTTTTGAGACTATTAAAGAGACAACAGGCCCCAAATGGAGTCACCTGTGTAAAAACACATCACCAAACATCATACCCAACCGAACTACAGTTGCAGCCTTTTCCAGGAATATAATCTTAACCAGTTGGTCTGGAATTTCCTGGTCAGCACTAGGGAGGAAATCTGCCTGATAGACCCTTACCATCCCCCAAAGGAAGGTGGCCTTGCCTGAAACAATCCATTCCTTGCTAGTAACATCCTTGACCTGACCCCTTCTGCCTATGAAAATCTCCCAATTTATATAGTTCTTTGGAGCAATTTTCTATTTGTTACATGGGATGCTGCCCAGTTCATGAATCTTTGAATAAAGCCAAACAGATCTTCAAATTCACTCAGTTGAATTTTGTTTTTTAACTAGATAAAGAACAGGAATTTGAAGGGTCTGTGTCTGGCTCTCTCATGGGTAAACAAGGGAGTGTTTGCATGTCTTAAGGGGAAGGATAATTCTTTACAGGAGCCCTTTCTAGTAACACAGAAGGGTGGAGGATTTCAGGAAACAAAAGGTTGGGAAGATTAATCTTCCCTGTTTTCCAGAAGAACAGGGATCTGGTAAAGTTCAGTGTTGTCAGTGATTATGGACTTATAAATAAATCAAAGCTCCAACCTTAGTGTAAAGAAATGATACATTATGTCCAGGAGGAAGTTGGAGTGCAGATACCTTGACTCCCAATATTCCAACTCACTCTTTTACAAAGGTTAAGAAATCCAAAGCCTCTCTGTACCACACAAGTCTCATTAACAAATGGGTAGGGGCAGGCACAGATGTAACCTGGAGATCATATACCCCATCAAAAGGGGGGAATGCTCCTGAGCTCCATGTGTGTAGGAATGAGGGCCCAATATTGAAAGACCTTGTTTTCTTAATTTCAACAAGGGGTTCTGATTATCTGCTTGCTTACATTTCTACAAATAAATTTATTTATACAAAGTATCTAAAAACCTGATGGAAAACCAATTTGTTTTTAACTGAAGTATAGTTGACATACAGTATTATATTAGTTTCAGGTGTACAACATAGTGATTTGACATTTATACACATTAGAAAATGCTCACCACGGTGAGTGTTGTTACCATTTGTCATACAAAGTTATTACAGCATTAGTGACTCTATTCCCTCTGCTGTAATTTTTATCCCTGTGACTTATTTATTTTATAACTGCAAGTTTGTACCTCAGTCCCCTTCACCTATTCACCCGTCTTGCCACCTCCCTTTCCTCTGTCAAACCATCCATTTTTTCTTTGTATTTATGAGTCTGTTTCTGTTTAACTTTGCTTGTTTTGTGTTTTGGATTCCACATATGAGTGAAATCATATGGTATTTGTCTTTCTCTGTCTGACTTATTTCATTTAGCATTATACCCTCTAGCTCCATCCATGTTATCAGAAATGGCAAGATTTTCAAATAACTTCTCCTAATTTAAGAGTTGAAGCTATCATAAATTTCAGGAAAACACATCAGGAAAATGACAGGCCATCAGTTTGCAACCTCTCATGTAGAAGTTGCCCAGTTGCAAACTCACCTGATCTTACTTTACTCCTTGCGACCGCCCATAAAGGAGGACAGAGCAGCAATGATTCCAAGTTCTGCAGAGGCGGTGACTGATGGCTTAGGGTTCCCCAGCTGGTAAGTAGCCTTGCTCAGGTGGAAGCCAGCTCTCCATGACTGTGCCGGCTCTTGCTGGGGACCACACACCCTCCCTTGCAGTCCAATCCCAAGTCTCCTCTTCTATTAATAGAGAAATGGGAGGAGGGTGGATGTTGTATGAGATAGCCATCATTTTCTCTTTCAATTGTAATATTCTGGGCACCTTCTCTATTTGTAATTCCATCGAGGAATTCAGCAAGTTTGTAAGTTACATCCTAGCTTACTCATTTTAGAAAATAAATTTTTCATTATTCACTCTCAAGCTGGTCATCTGTTTTTTCAGAAGCTGCTCTCTCCCCATGTGCAGAATCCAAAATGGCAATCAGAGTCGTAAGAGAGACGAAGGTGAAGAACAGACCAAAAAAGGAATAACTATTTTACTGGTCAGCTGGCCAAGGGGCAAGACAAAAATCAGGTACAAATAACAATGGCTTTTAACTCATTGAGTTAACTTTTCTCTTATCATCAAGATAAAACTCAGATTGAAGATGTCCAGAGATAGGACAAGTTTTAGTTTCCAGAAAGTCCCCTTCTGCATCACACGGGTAACAGTTTCCCACTAGTTATCCTATTTATCTGGCTCTTAAAAATATCAGTTGCAATTAGAGATCCTCAGAAAGCCTCAGAAAAGATGACCCTTTAAAAAGTACATTTCATCAAGTGGGAGCTTCTTTTTTTTTTTTTTTTAAGATTGTATTTATTTATTTGACAGAGAGAGACACAGTGAGAGAGGGAACACAAGCAGGGGGAGCGTGAGAGGGAGAAGCAGGCTTCCCGCCGAGCAGGGAGCCCGATGCCGGGCTCGATCCCAGGACCCCGGGATCATGACCTGAGCCGAAGGCAGAAGCTTAATGACTGAGCTACCCAGGCGCCCCTAAGATTTTATTTTTAAGTAATCCCTACACCCAACATGGGGCTCAAACTTACCATACTGAGAGCAAGAGTCACATGCTCCACTGTCCAATCCAGCTGGGTGCCCTCAGTGGGAGCTTCTGGTCTTCTCTTGTATCCTTGTATTCTCTAGGTCCCTGTCAAAACTTTCAGAGCTAACTGATGTAACAAGATAACGACACTAGCTCAAATGATTTCTGTTTCCTCTTTACCTTGCTTTGCAAGGAGAATTTTATTTTTCCATACTGCGTGAGCAGTTTGAGAATCTGGGAAGATAGCCAAGAAATGTCACCCTCTGAAAAACAAAAACTGTGGGAATAAGAAGAATGACATAACTGACTCCTGTGGAAATAACACATTTAAATGATGATGGGTTAGTGGGATGCATTTGACCAGAGCAACGTTTCTCAAAGTGAATTGTAAAAAGAAACCTACAAGAAAGAGTTTCATGGCCAAATAATTTCTGCAAGTACTGGATTAAATAATGTTGAAACACATTCATTATTGTAGGGTTTCTCAGAACCTTTAATGTATTGATATACATTGTGAACTTCGAAGAGAAGCAATCGTATGTAGTATTTTCCAAATGTGTTTTACTATGGAATCATTTTTTTTTTTAAGATTGTATTTATTTATTTGAGAGAGAGAGAGAGAGAGCACGAGCAGGGGGAGGAGCAGATTCCCCGCTGAGCAGGGAGCCTAAAGCTAGATCCCAGGACCTGAGGATCATGACCTGAGCCGAAGGAGACGTTTAACTGACTGAGCTACCCAGGTGTCCCATGGAATCATTTTTTGTAGACAAATCTACTTTGGCAAGCTCCATACTGGAGTATTTTCTTAATTTCAACAAGGGATTCTGATTTTCTGCTTGTATATATTTTTATAAATAAGTTTATTTATACAAATAAATATTTATACAAGTAAGTCTATACACAAGGTGATTTATACAAATGAATTATAACATGTCTCAGTGTGTGCTGTACTCACAGTTTGAGAAGGAGAGCTGAAAAAGAGAATTGGATAGGAGGGAGAATTTGTGCCAGGCCCTCTAGGTGTTTCTCTATAATGGGTGGGTACTAGTTTGTGAGGGCTGCCATCACAAAGTACCACAGACTGGGTGGCTTACATAACAGAAATTAATTTTTCCTAGTTCTGGAAGCTAGAAGTCTAAGATCAAGGTATCAGCAGGGTTGGTTTCTTCTTCCTTGGCTTGCAGATGGCCTCCTTGTCCCTGTGTCCTCATGTGGTCTTCCCTCTGTGCTTATTTGTATACTAATCCCCTCCTTTTATAAGGACACCAGTCATATTGGAAGGCAGCCCACCCTAATGACTTCCTTTTATATTACTTACCTCTTTACAGGCCTCACCTCCAAATATAGTCACACTGTGAGGTACTGAGGGTTAAGACTTCAACACATGAGTTTTGAGAGGACACAGTTCAGCTCATAACAGTGGACTAGCAACATAAATTCCCAAGAGCTGGCTACATATTCCCTAGAGACCATAACATTCTTTGCACCCCACCCCAGTCCTTCTTGAGCAGACTTTTGAACCTGAGATGAGCGTCAGAGGATGTTCCAACTGGGAGGAACCAGCCTCACAGCCAGACACAGCCTCTTTGACCATTATATTTCCTAGGAAACTTAATACATTAGCTTGCTGGTTGGTGAGCTAATCTCCTGAAGTTTGGTTAAGATGACTCAGTTTCTCTGGACCTGATCACACCTAACTGGATGGATAAAATGTGTTTTTTAAACTAACAAAGCGGGGGCCAGATATTGCCTCTGCTGTGCCTCCGTCAGGAGAGCCAAGAAAAAGGAATGAGCTCTGACTGAGGGTCAACTATGCAGCAGGGACTGACTGTGTATAATAATAGCTCACATGTCCTAAACTACATTGGGCACTTTCCATTGGCATCATCTCATCTTTTGCTTACAGTGTTTCTTTGAGATAAAGGTACTATGATCACCTCTCGATTAAAGATGGGGAAATTGAATTCTACCTCTGAAACTAATAATATAGTAAATGTTAGTTAAATTGAATTGAAATAAAAATTTTTTTTAAAAGATGAGGAAATTGAATTCTAAAGAAGGTACTTATCAGTCATACAAACAGGAAATAATGTGAAGCTTCCAATGCTCTTAGCTACAATCCCACATATAGTTCATTGATCTCACTTGATTTTGGAGGAGCAAAAATGGTTCCTCTATCCTCTTATGTTCTGGAACTTGGGCCTGTGATTTAAACTGACAAAAGACAGACAAGAGAAAAGCAGACAGATTTTATTAATATGGTTATATGCATGGGAACTTCACAGGAAGGATGTGAAAACCCAAAGAAGTCGTTAGCGTTGGGGGCTTATATATTATTTTACAAAGAATGATAAATTGTGGAGAAGTGATTAAATAAAGGAAAAGGTGTTGGGGCTCTGAAGGACAGTCAAGTGTGGGAAGTTGACTAGGAACTGTGTGGTAGACAAGGGTTGTTAAGTAAGATTTGCTGTGCTGACTTCAACTCCAGGCGCCCTCTGCAGTGATTAAGCTGTTTCTCTTCCTGGTATGGGAGAGAGGAATAGCTTTACAAATGGAAGTTTATGTCACATCTGCGAAGGGGAATTTATGCCCTGCTTTTAGGCAGAGAGGGGGAGGGCAGAGAGCTCTTCCTATGTCTGCTGTTTCTCAGTTGCCTTTAGCTTAAAATAATAAAAATAATCCTTATGCCAAAGTGGCTTATTTCGGGATGAAGTATCTGGATCCCCTTCAGTTTCTACAATCGTTAGAGACAAGGAAGGAAAATGAAGGCAAGAGTCGTCCAGGGTGATGAGGTTAAGAAGCTGAAACTAGACTGTAAGCTGATCTTTCTGACTTCAGAAGCACCAGTATATGTACTATATAAATAGAATTTTGTAAATAAACATTTTGTTTCAGAACTGTTTTAGATTTACAAAAAAAATCACAAAGATAGCATAGAGTTCTCATATACTCTGCACCCAGGTTCCCCTGTTACGAACGACTCACATTAATTAGTGCGGTACATTTGTTACAAATAACAAATCAATACTGCTATATTATTATTAACAAACCAAAGTCCATTCAGATTTCCTTAGTGTTTATCTAGTGTCTTTTTCCTGTCCCACGATCCCATCCAGGATGCCACATCGCGGTTAGTCGTGACTCCTTAGACTCCTCTTGTCTGTATCCGTGTCTCGGACTTCCCTTGTTTTTGACGGCCTTGACAGTTCCGAGGAGTACCGGTCAAGTACTTTGTAGATACTTGGGATTTATCTCATCTTTTTCTCCTGATTAGACTGGGGTTACACGTTTTCGGAAAAGGCCACCGAGACAGAGTGTCATTTTCCTCACATCATATCAACAGTAAGCCCTATCCACAGGACTTATCACTGTTGATGTATGTCAGGTTTCTCCACTGCAAATAAAGAGAATTTTTTGACTGCCTTTTCCTCCTGGATGTTACTTCATTCTCACATTTCTGTACAGCAGCAGTCTCCAGTCCTGTGCTTTCACAATAACTCCGTTGTGTTGATGTACCCTGTAGTTACTGCTTGTTATTCTATTTACGTGAGGGATTCGTTTTTGCTTTTGTCCTTTGTGAGCGAGTTTTTGCGCTTGTGTGTGCAGTGCGTGCCCACGTGTGCGTGCGTGCGTGTGTGTGTGTGTGTGAATGAGTGAGTGGCTTGCTGGTGGTTTGTTAAGTCACCTAAGGACTCTGCTGACCAAAATCTAAGAGTTCTAAGAGGCCTCCAGACCAGTGTTGGAGCAGTAGTAACAAGCAGAGGGGACTTAGCAAGTGACCACGCTGGGGCACGGAGGGGAGGTGGGAAGATTAGAAAAAACTTCCTGTGGGCCTCAGTTTTCTCAATGATGAAATAAGCTGGAGGAGATAGATTCTGTGAATTCCAAGGTCACTTCTCACTCGAAACCACGGATCTGCGGTCGGAGGGCAGGAAAATAAGGTGGGTTCTCTCTTCCTGTATCAACTTAATTTCTTTAGTAGTTCATTACAAGCTAAAGCATTAAAAAGAATCCTGATTCCTAATCCCTGGAGGTATTTCTTTGGCTGGAGTCTCTGGTTTAATGAAGATGTAAACATTCTTGTGGGAACAGATCCCAACTCATTGCTTCGCCCACACTTGCTTCCACGGAGAAGCTCTGTCCCATTCCTTCTCAGCGTCTGCTGTGTTTTCTAGGTCTTTCTTGCTCCTTTGTGTACAGCTGCGGTGAGAGAGACTTAAAAGGTTTATTGTTCATCCTCCAGGAGCATTTTTCTAAATCGAGGTGGGAACATACCCAGTACATAATCCCCTTTCTGGCCAAAGCTGTCCCCATTTCTGCATTTATTTTAAGGTAAAAGTCAAAGTCTGAAAATTTTCATTCTTGCATTGTGAACCTGAGAAAAATCACAGTTCATTTTTTTGTGTCCTTGGTCATCTGCCAGAAAATAAAACCTTGTGGAATTTATGCCTTTTGTTTTTTTTTAACATTTCTTTAATTAAATCCTATATGCTAACTCAGTCATACTAAATACTGTATGCTGTTGCAATATTTCCTTTTTCGACAAAATACCTTAACACTTTTCTATACGACAATTAATTTTTGTATGTTAGCAACTTATCCATTTTAACAGGCACCGAATATGCTACATTTTGACTCCTGGTAGAAAAGGAAACGTCTAGGAAAATGTCATCATACCCCAGTTTGTCTTGCACGCATTTCCTCTCCTGAGTGGAGAATTAAGGTTATTCTTCTATCAATTTTGCCTTGTTTTTCTGTAGCCCCATTTAAGAAAAAAAACCTTTCATTTTGTGTGGTCAATTCCTCTGGGTTCACTTACATCAGCTTTGGCTGGGTTGATGTTTAAAACATTTCAGAGGGGTAAATAATTTATTTGAAAGCTAGTGGAGAAAGGCACTTAGAAAAATTAAACTAAGGGAGTGAATTTGAAAGAAAAGATGTTACTGGGAACCAAATAGCTTAAAGGCGAGGGAGGGAATCTCCATTTCAAAAGCAAAAGTAAATGTCATTTAAGTGTTACCTTCATCCATATCTTTTCATGAATCTTGTTTGAATGTATCAATACAGATGTGAATATGTCTGAACAAGTAAATATGTCTTTAAAATGTTGGCTTATAGAAATTCTTCGAAGCTTTGATACTGTCTTGTGACATGTTCAT